TAACTGATGATGGCTAGAGGGATGCAGGGCCTGACCTGTTCCCTAATCTCTTGCCTGAACCAAAACCTCTGCCTGCCCCAAGGAGCCCTAGGTCTTGCAGGGAAAAGATGTGGAAGTCCTGGGGTCCATTAATTAAAACCCAGCAGATTACAGTACTGAAAAAAAGCACAGCACACACACACACATAGAGGTGTAGCACCCAGAGTCTGGATAAGAAACTTCTGGGTGCCCGGTCCCAGCCCCTCTTAGTTACTTTCTTTAGACTCTCTGTCAGTAGAAAATTCCTTCTCCCCCATTTTGCAGAGGTAGACACTGAAGTACATAGAGATCACATGCTTCTGTCTGGAGGTCTTGTGGTATGAGCCCCTGGCCATAGCTAGAATGGATTCCTTCTAGGGTATTGAGTGGTGTGGGGGAGTAGAAGAAGAGGCTCTCTGCTGAACTTGCCAGGTGGTGCCCCTGAGTATACACAGTGGCTGAGCCCAACTGCAGCGGGCCTGAAGCAGGAGTAGGCTGGTACGAGATAGAGCTTCCTAGGATCCTAGGGATATGGGCACAGATCATAAGTCACTCTTGTGACTGCAAAGAGTCATTTACCCAGGGCCATACTCTGAGCTGCTATTCATGTATTTTCTCTTATATGATGCAAACATGCCTCTCTGGGCATTGGATCTGAAAAGGGCTCTTTTTTCTCCTATAGTTCATTGTAACATGGTTGGCTGAGGAGGGCAAGTAAACCTCATAGAGAAGGAAATGAACCTTCAGGTCCCTCTGCCCCTCTCCACTGATCCCAGAGAGACATGCTGAGCCCATTTTTGTGCAAGGGGCTTTTACACCATTCTCATCATCTATTGAAGGTGGACTCTGTCAAACTCCATTTGACAGAACAGCACAACCTAGTAGTTGGCAGCCCCTGCCAAGGAAAGCTTGCTTTGTGTTTCTACAACCATTCCTACACACTATCTCTTCTCTTCTGTAAAGACCTGTCTTTTTTGAGAGCTGAGGTTGGAGAGGGACATCCTCAGATAGGTAGTGTTTGGCAAGCACATGGTTTTAAATACCAGGTTTGACACAAAAATACACTTTTTGCTTTTCTTTTAAAAAGCCAGATCATGGTTAGGTGCAGTGCACACCTCTAATCATAGCATTTGGGAGGCAGAGGCAGGTGGATCTTTATGAGTTCCAGGCCAGCTAAAGCTACACAGTGAGACCCCATCTTGAGAAACAAGCAATAGAACAAAAAAGCAAAGCAAAACAAAGCATCACAACTAACTAATAATAAACTGGGTTTAATATGTATATCCAAGAATTCTCTACTTCCCACCCCCAGGAAAAGAGGGTTCACAGGAGGGGGGCTGTCACAGGTAGGTGATTGAAACAGGCATAAAGTGCTTGTGAGTATGTTCTTGCCTGTTAAGTGCTTGGTTGGCAAGGCCTGAATACTAACACCAACTGTGTTCTGTGTGTTCTGGAGTGTGATTGCAGTTACTCAGATGACCTCACAGTGTCAGTGCACCAGGAATGAGGACTTTTGTTCCCACTGTTAGCAGACCAGAAATCTGGTGGGACTGGAGATAGAATCTTGCCAGGCCAGTACTCCATCTCATCTCAGACTCAGAGAAATTGACTCTTAGGTGTGTTTTCTTCTTGTGCATTTTCAAGAACATTCTTTTAGTTAATATGCGGGGGAGACTTCCTCATTCTTCTACATAACCTTTTGCTGAAGCGACATTGTGCGATAAAAAGGTCCCAGGAGAGACAGTGCAGTTTGGGCTCCGAAAGACAGAGAATATCGATGCAGTAGGCTGGGCTGCTCCCAGGAGCTAAGAGGCCTGGACAGCTCTGTTGCTACCAGCAAGGTGTGGCCTTGGCTCACAGCCGTCTTGTGCTTTAGGACCATGTGTTCATTCATGTCCATGTTTAACTTTGCATTTCTTTTCTTTCCTATTTCTGGATGGTGATGCCTTTCCTAGAAAAGGAAGGTTAGACAGAGATACCAGTGAGTCTCCTGAACAGGACTGGAAGGAAGGAAAAGGATGGTGGGGGACAGATGTCAGAGCTTTGTGTCTGGGCAAAAGCTAGTTGGGGGTCATGGCCTGTGCTGAGGGCACAGTGGAGGGCACATTGAAGCTGTATTCACATCCATCAACATGGGCTCTGGGGGTTCCAGTTAATTGAGGCTGATTCTAAATTGGGAGGCTTAAGAATTAGTAATTGTCCTCCAGTGACAGCAGACCAGAGCTACACAGTGCCACCCAGACAGATCAGGAATCATGCAGGGCTTCTTCCCTTTTACTATGTGGGGGCTCTGAGAGCTGCCTACAGAGGCCAGGTATCAGGAACACCTGGTTCAGGCCAGGTGCTCAGGCCTGTTCTGTGCAGGTCTAGTATACAGGGTTTGTAGCCTGCCTGTGTTTATATTGAGCTTCTGGGATACTCCCAGAGGCACATCTGTGTGTACTGGTTCTGGCTTACCCTCTACTCAGCCACCTCCAGATCCCCCCCCCCACCCCAAGCACCTTATGTTTCCCACAAGACGACATGGCTTTGTGCGTAGGAGAGTAACGCTTGACTGTGGACACAGGTGACATAGCCAGGCTTGCTTTTACCCAAGGGGACTGGGCTGCTTAAGGGAGAGTAAACACCTCATCTTAAGGAGTGTTCAAGCAGATATTGAATGTACTATTCTCACCTTCCTAGTCCCTGAAGGCCAGAGGGCTGTGGTTGAGCTTCTCAACAGTTGGCACTGAGCAGGTACTAGGTTGCCAAGCTTGTCAATTTGGACTGTCTGGAGGCTGACAGAGTGCTTCCCCTTCTTGGCATTCCTAGAATGTGACCCATAAGACCCCCAGCAAGGTCAGGTAAGGGTCACAGTGGGTGTGGATGTATCTTTGATATGTATATAAATGGTGGATACAGATTCCCATGCTGTTCTGAGCTAAGGTTCTAAAGGGTGACATGGCCCTACTGTGTATTGGGTATGTGTAGATGGTGGTGGTCAACAATGAGGACATGGTTGGGGGGGCTGCTATACACAGTCAGAATGACTATTCCTTCCTGCCCCACACCCCCTCACATTTCTGCCCCAGGCAAGATCCTCTAGCTCCTGTGGTTCTCAGCCTTCCTAATGCTGCAACACTTTAAATACAGTTCAACTTGTTGTGGTGACCCACAACCATAAAATTATTTTCATAGCTATTTTGTAACTAATTTTGCTTCTGTTGTGAATTGTAATGTAAATATCTAATATGTGACCCCTTTGAAAATGCCACTTGATTCCCAAAGGAGTCACAACCTACAGATTGAGAACCACTACACTCCCAGTCACCTTGGGTCCTGACCTCATGTTCCCCCACCCTTGGGACAGAGGCATCTGCCAGAGTTCATCCTTGCTCCTGGGAAAGAGGGCCCAGCAGATGGTTTCAAGGTCTCCAGGAATCAGAGAGATGGGAGAGGAAGCCTGTACAATCTCTTTTCAGGAGATCTTGGAGGAAATGGTCTCAGTTTCTTCAGCGTGTGAGCCAGGGCGAGAGGCTTTGCCTTCGTACTTCCAGACAGGAGCTGGAATGGTTCCAGAGCCAGGATGCCTCTAGAGACAACATGGAGAGCATTTCTGGAGGAGGTAACTTCTGAAGATGAAATAGGGGTACATTTGAAAGTGAAATGAGGATTCTTCTGGAGATAGACTTGTTTTGTTTTGTTTTAAGATGAAGCTTTTCTACATCCCAAGTATTGCCAGACGTAATGTTTCTGAGAATGGAGCCGTTCTAGCGATAAGTGGCAGTGCCCCTGGATGTAGAGTGTTTGAGGAGGATGCTGGAGTATTTCTGGAAACAGTGGGGACTTCTGGATTTTAGGTCCTTCTGGATGTAAAATGAGCATCTGGAGATGGGATGGCGCCTTCTAGAAAGCTGCTTAAAGTTGGGGTGGAGCTGTTATGGAGAGCATTGACGTTTCTGGAGATGTATCATACTTGAAGATAAAGATGCTTCTGGACAGAAATAAACCACTTCTGGAGATGGCTCATGTGGACCTAAGGGATTCCTGGGTTAAAAGGAAGCATTCCTAAAGAGAAAACGGGTCATTCTCAGACAGTGCTTTTGAATCAAGGGTAGTAATTTCTTGAAGATGAGGAGTGTTCAAACAGGGTGTTCAAAGGCCTCTTAATAGATGAAAAGGTCTCAAAGGATCCAGAGACCCCCGTTTCTCATACTCACGTTCTATGGAGGTGGGTCAGAGGTGCAGAGACCAGTATTGCCCTTGTCTTCCTTTAGGCCAGCATAAGAACTCCATCAAGGAAGACCCAAGATCTCCCAGTCCTGTTTTTGGGGTACACATCCCATCTCAGTATGCCCAGGTGACCTTCACCATGGTATAGCCAGTGCCCAGTGTTAGATTTCATTTAATTAAGTTTTGTTAGAGTCAGCTGAAGCTCCCTTTATGGCCTCCTGCAACTGGGAGCCTCTACTCTTTGTCTACCCCCAGCCTCCTGTTCCTTTGGGCACTCATGAGGCAGGAAAATGGGCGGGGACTGCAAGAGTGACCTTAAGAAAAGGTCCAGCTGCTTGCTCTGGCTTGGGGGTACCTCTTCTCTTTTCAGACACTGAGGCCCATCCCCACTTGAGCTGGCCTGGAGCCCTTTAGTAATTATTTCTCTGCTTTAATTGAAATTTCAGCCTCAATGAGCCTGCTTCAGAAGTATGAGGAGGTATCGACCCTGTATCAGCCTGAGGTGTCCCTACCCTGCCCCAGAAAGAAGGTAGTAAAAGAAAAAGGTGCCAGGCTGCAGTCCCAGGAGAAGGTCTAGGTGGGTGGCCTCAGGACAGTCAAGGCAGACTGCTCTGCATAGATAAGACTTCTTGTCCCTGGTGGATTAGGAGATGTTTAGAGTAAGCAAGCTGGCCAAGAAATAGAGGGATGAATGATTGGGGCAGCCTGAGGAAGTAGGGTCTCAGGAAAGCATGTGTGTGCCATCTATTCATTTGACAGGGATCTAGGGGAAGGGTGGGCTGATACTCAGGTAGTGCTTGATAGCTGATGGCAACAGGCCCAGTTCCTGGCTCAGGGCTGAGGAAAGCATTGTGGATAGGGTGAGCTGCCTGGGGAACTGTAAAAAGCCTGTTTTCCTTACTGCATGGGGCTAGATACTTCATGGGTTCTATCTTCTCCTTTTTCCTCATCTTGGGTGGTCCCTGAGCTGGGCCTGTCTACTGAGGGAGGAAGAACAAGGAACTCAGGGAAATACTGCTCCTGAAGAAGGGCCTTTTAAATGGGTGTGGTGGTACATACCTTTAATCCTTGTGCCTCAGGAGGCAGAGGCAGATGGATCTCTGTGAGTTCCAAGCCATTCTGTTCTATATAGCAAGTTCCTGGCCAGGGCTACATAGTGAGACCCTGTTTCAAACAAAACAAGAAGAGCCTGCTGATCTTAGTCGTATTTGTTTGGACATAGGAAAGCTACTGTGCATAGCCCTCACTGCATCCACACTGGTCCCCAGAAACTGCAGGAGTTCCAGAGAACCTGTATTGGCCCATGGATCTCAGTCTTCTTATCTGGGAAGTGGGTCAGTTTGGCAGTTGTTAGAACTAAAATGACCTGCAAAATACCCATAGCTGCAAGTACCATTAACACATGCCTGGCACCTCTCATACAGTTGGCGTGGGGCAGCTGCAGTCCTTGGTGCTATTTCTCAGATGGTGTCTTCCTGGTACCTAGGAATCATCTGGACACAAGCACCCTGATTAGAGCTGCTCCATCCACCCCAGCAGAGGGGTTGTTTTGTGCCAAGGAAGACCGAGGCAGTTGGAGTGAAAAAGTATGAAGGGGTCAAGGGAGGTTGCTTATTGTCTGTCCACTGGCTCCCAAACACTAGGACCATCACACATCAAGCTCCTGAAGCACTAGGCCGCTCAGCATGGCTCACAGTGCTAGCTGCTTGCTCCTGGCTTTGTTCACAGCCTGTCCTTAGTGGAGTATGTGGTATGCCTACCCTCCAAGGGGGGAGAAGGGACAGGAATGACTAGACAGGACAGGGCATGTCAGCCCTCAGGAGCTGGGGAAGTGAAGACGGGCACAAATGAAAATGGCTGTCCCATTAGCTGTCCTTTATTTCATGACTGACTGGCAGGGAGGGAAAGAATAGGGTGAAGACAGAGTCTAAGCTGGCAATCAGGAGAGGGGTCTCTAAGGAAAGGCAGCCAGGCCAGGGCTGCCGACTGGGCTTCTGCACCTCCATCAGGCTGGAGTGCTTCGTTTGTTGCAGCTTGAGAGACCCCAACCTATGGCACATTCCAGCTCCTGTTCCTCCTTCCTCAGTAGAGCTCTGCCTTTACTCCTAAGAATATTTAGGTTCTACACCATCAACCTTATCCCAACAGACTGCTTCTTCCTTGTACTGGCCAGGCTAGAGACTGAATCAGTTGGTGATGACCAGAGGCTGCCAGGGTGGATCCAAGGCACTAGCCCTACTGCCAGTCAGCTGCTAGAGCTAACCTCTTTACTGCTGCTGCAGATAGGGCTGTGGCTATGGGGCCCTCCTCATGCACAGAACCACCAGCTGAGCTGACATGACTCACTGGTGCAGGCAGCTCTGCTTCCCACTATAGGGAGGGTGGTAGAAACCTCCAGATGCTGTGTCCCCACCCCATGAACCCATGCCAGAAGGGACAATCAGGGTTAGAGGTTAGTGTCTTGAGTGAGTGGGTGCTCACTAAATTGGGCTAGACCTTGTGCCCAGACCCCTGGTTTGGTGTCTACCTAGGAGAGCTTTGTGAACATCCAGGGGAAGGTGTTTTGTGGGTGGGTCACACTGAACAGAATTCTGTGCGCTATGCTGCTCCCATGGTCCAGGTCCCGCTGAAGAAAACGTTTGCCATGCATGGGTTGTCTGTCTTTCTGGTCATCCAGAGAACCCTTGTGTTTCAGGGCCAGCAATGTGCTGCTTTCTCAGAAATGCCACCCAGAGACACCTCCTCTGCACCCTGACCCAGCCATCTCCAGAAAGTTGGAGGTCCTATTCCCTCCTATGGCTGCCCACCTCCATCAGCAGAAAACTGGCTCATGCTCTCACTCCTGGAGCTGCCCAGGTGAGAAGTGACGTTGTGCTAGTGCGTTGTGCAGGTCAGCACTTTGGGTAATGCCTCTGAGGTCATAAAACTAGGCTTAGAGAGTGAGAGACTTTCCCCCAGATCACAGGGCCACCTGGGATTTGAACTAGGTCTTAGAGCAGAGTCCTCTAAAGGTTCTGCCTGTCGGGACCCAGCCCCAGGGAAGGAGGCGTGGTGGACAGTGCTGCTTTGTGTTTATTTTTGACCTCCACCCTGTCGCCTACTCAGGCAGCAACCCCTGGAACAGATCCTGTCTTGATTTTCTCCAGAACAAAGCAAGCTCTGCTAGACATGCCAAAGCCGAAGCTGTAGTGAGAGGAGGTAAAAGAAACCCAAGCCTGCCTTTTGTTACTCAAGAAGGCATGGAGGGAAATGGATTTGCCCTTGAACTGTGATGGTAGGCCACCATGAGCCATGAAGGGGAGGCTGAGGCAGAGGTACCTGGGCTGTGTGTGATGTCACTCTCGCACCCCCACTCCCATCAGAGCATCACGAGGCAGACATCGTTTTAGTATTCAGCATACATTCATACACAGTCATGTGCCCATATGTGCATGCATGCACACACATCTAGTCACACACATACCCTACACTTCTATCTCCCTTTTAAGCCAGGCCTGGAACATCTGACTAATGGGGAGAGGAGATGGACAAAAGGAAAGAGAAAAGAGATTAGTGGAGAGAAAATCCAGTTCTGGGTACCTTAGTTACCAGCTCCTAATGACTCACAGGGAGGGCTCAGCCACCTTCATGAGGAGGAAGACCCACCCTCTGGGCCCCTTCTATCACCCCATTAATAAGATGGGCCCTTGTTCATGAGTCCTGAGGCAGAAAGAAGAATCAAGGACTTTCAATAAGAGAACTCCCTGGGTGGTTTTGAATAGTTGCTTTTGTGTGTGTGTGTGTGTGTGTGTGTGTGTGTGTGTGTGTGTGTGTGTGGTGAGGGACATGCCCTGCCCTCTTGTCCTTGTCCTTCTCAGCTCTGCCCCGGCTGCCTCCCTCCACCAGCTGCGTCTGGAACCGCCTGTGCCCAGGTCTCCACATGGATGAGCATATTTCTCAAGTCTTTTATTGTTCCTGCCCTTCCCTCCTGACACCCTTAGCTTAGCAGAGGCCACAGGCAGCCTTGCATCTCAGGAAAGCCAGAGAATCCCCGAGGCTTTTCTGAAAAGGCTTAAAGCTGGTGCTCAGTGCTGAGGAAACAAAAGCATTCTCCCTACATCCAGGGTGTTGGGCCTGCGGGCCAAGGCCAAGCTCATGGCCATTGCTGCAGTGCCTGTGGATAGGGAATGAATGGAAACCAGACTGGCTAAAGAGAGGGACAGAGGAAAGAAGGGAGATGCACAAATCCATTTATCAGACACTGTATATCTTAAGCAAGCTCATTTCAGCTGTTCTGGCTTTTGGCAAGCTAGTCCTACCCTTAATTTTCTAATAAAAAGGAATTACATTTTCTAAAAAGGCAGTAACCAGCTTCATGTCAGTGTCTCTTGTAGGAACCATAATTTCTTTCTTGTGTATCTGCTAACTCTCAGGTGGACTTTTGTGGCTACAGGTAGATGTGAATGGGGCCAGAGAACAGGACTGCTGGGACACAGAACAGATACGAGGTACTCCATGAGACTTGATCATGCTCTTCCCAACCTGGCCTATGCACTCCCAGCTTAGGCCATGGTTCTAGGTTCAAGGACAAGACGCCCTGGGACTCATAGCAGAAACTTAATATTTAAAGAATGAATGAATTCTTACTGCCCGAGTCTGGGTATCTAGCAGGTTGCTCAAAGGATGGGATAGTAGTTGTAATTAATGAAGAAATGAATGCTCTTCAGTCTCAAACTTCCCAACTGGATGGACTTACTTATCTTCCCCTCCAAGCCCTGGAACTAAATTGATTGGAAACAACCAAAAGTCCTGTCACTCTCACTACTTTAAATCATACACATTGTTTTTATGGAAAAAATTCTTTTTTGCATTTATTTTGTGTGAAAGTCAGAGCACAGCTTATTGGAATTAGTTTTCCCTTTCTACCATGTGATTTTCAGGGATTGAACTCAGGTCCATAGGCTTGTGGGAGAGCATCTTTGCCTTCTGAGCCATCTTGAGAGCCCATACACATTGTTTTTAGTGTTTTATTTATTTTTCAAGATTTACATACTTTATATGTATGAATGTTTGTATGCATGCATGCATGCATGGATGCATGTGCATCTGATTGTAGCTGTGCCTTTGGAGGCCTCAGATGGGCCCTGCCTGCTCTCCAGCCAGGGCCGTAGGCAGGACAGAGTGGTATTGATAATGCTTGCCTCTCCAGAGCATTTTGTCTTTTGCTTTACACATGCCATCATTCCTGTTCTAGGTTTAAACAAACTTATGTTGGCAGAACCCTGACCTAATGAGCACTTGCCAAACAATAGCCTTGGTGATTTGGGAGCAGTCTTCCTTGTTGTGTGCATAGTTCTAGGCCCTGAACATCTTCTTACCTCTACTGTGTTCAGGTGTCCCACAATGAAAATAGTGTAGTCTCAGAAGGGTGGAGAAGCTCTTCAGCCATATCAGTTCCTTGCTGCTGGTACCCAGGTTCTACCAGACTATTTTGTGCCAAGAGAAATACGAGGGCCCACGGGATATGGGGCTTTAAATCTTACTGGCAAGTGTTTTCCTCAGGCTGCTGTTGATTTAGGTGGAGGCAGCCCCTTACCTGGGCATGAACACCGTTGGAGTTCAGCTATCAAAAATGTGCCCAGTGTACTTTCCTGTCCTGGGGCCCTCTGGGTCACATCACAGTTCCTGGGAAGCCCAGGAGTCTGAATTGTGAGAATCTGATCAGGAATAGCTGGTGATAGCTTGGCACTGGAAGCAGCAGGGGAAGAATAGGGCTAGAGACATGCAGGTGAGGCCTGATTAGCTCTGAATCCATAGAGCCAGTGGCCAAGCTGGGGGGTTCTAGTAGGGAAGGGCGGACTAGTAGGGTGCTGTCTCCTGGCACCCTAGTATGGTGTGCCTTTAAACTCCATCTCCTTGTAGGTCTTTATTAGAGTGTAAGCATTTAGGGTAGGAAGTCTTTGTAAGATAGAGGTACAGAGTGGGGACTGTGGCTGCTTTGTCAAGATTGTCATGAATTGTGAGTAGGGCTTGGTGACCACTGGAGATGGCATAATCCAGGTCATGGAGAGCCAAGAGGTGTCGTGTAGATTCTTGTCGTTCTGGTGCACTTCCATTAGGCTTCTCTGCCAGCACATCACATCTGTGTGTCTGTGTGTGTTTGTGTGGGGACATGCACACCATACCATGGAAGTCAGTTCTTCCCTTCTGCCATGTGGGCCCCAGGGATTGAACTCAGGTTTAGTGACTGGTGCCTTACCTGTTGAGTCATCTTGCCTCATCCCCCTCACTTACATAATCTTGCTTAAAGCCTTGCTTAAACCAGGGCCTTTGTGTAGCAGGAACCCTCCAGTGATTTGGTGACCATGAAGCTGGTTAAAGTCCTAAAACTACCACTTTGCATCCCTTTTGTCACCCTGGTGCTCAGCTCAGCCCAGAAAAAAAAGACATTGTCACAAAGAAAGGAGGAAGGGAGAAAACATGCTTGCAGAGCATCTCTTCTGAGAACAGTGCCATTTTGCTCTTCAGAATTGGGGGTGGAGGTAGGGTAGGGGTGTTTAGAGGCCTGTAGCCTGGAGTAAACCTCCAGCTTCTGTCTTGGAAGTATGTTGAGCCATGGTTGTCCCTGCTCCTCCATAGATTCTTGCTTGGAGCTCCTGCAACCATTAAGTAGCCCCTGGCTGTGCCTGCCTCACCCAAAGATGGTGGCTTCCTGGGATAATGTTACAGCCTGCCTTTCAGTATCATTTGGCAAAGACTCCACTATGCACAAGTGCTCACACACTGGCTTTGTTTTTAAAAGATATGTCTGTCAAACAAATTGCGTGTATTAATTCATTACCACATTTCTTACTAATTAAGGATAGTTTTAACTGCCTATCTGAGCATTGGTGGGGGAGCCAGGAGGGCCTCCCAAAGAGGAGCTTTACTTGGGGTGAACACACTCTCTCTACCTCTGAGAGTTTCTTCTAGAAGAGATGGGGATGGCTTATGGACCCGCCCACATCACCAAGCTCAGGCTGGCTTTTATCTAGAAACTGGCTGGTAGGCTTATTGGAGATGGAGGAACTGGTCCCCAGCCCTGGTAGTGGTAGTGGCAGGGGAAGCAGTTGCTGAGTCCAGGCCCATTTTAGGCAGAATGTGAAGACAGATTGTAGAGGGGTGTCCTAGACAGTGGGTCCAGAGTTGGAAGCTGAGAATTCTGCGGTTTCGTGTCATTTATATACTGGTATTCTTGTTTCCTTGGGACAAGACAGGTTAGTGCTTCCATCCATCAGGATAAGATGAAGCTGAGGTGGTCCTCTATCATCCATCCTTCTTATTCACTCACCTAACAGACCAGGTGACTTGCATCACCAGGTGTGTCCCTGCCCTCTAAGTCTTTGCAGTCTACTTGGGACCAGTGGGTAGATAGATGCCCAGGTAAGTCATTATTATCATGTGTATAGTCACACTAAGAGCTGCATAGAGAGCTGAGGGACCAGTAAATTGACACCTAGTCAAGAGGCATAGGGTATAAGGAAGACTTCCTGAAGATGATGCTGCTCTAAGAAGTTTGAGGAGTTTTTAAGAATTCTATTTTATTTTTTTATTGTTCTGGGGATGGAACACAGGTCCTCTGTGTGTTAGGAAGGCTCTACCACTGAGCCATACCCCAGTCATGTCTACATTTTAAATGCTTACTTTGCACCATGTGCTAGGTACTTTCTATACCCATTGTCATATTACATTAACAGATGCAACCATGTGAAAAAATCTCCTGTGTGGTACCTGTAAGCTAAAGAGCAGAGAAGGGGAGAGTCTGGAGAGATGGCTCAGCAGTTAGGAGCACTGACCCTGCTTCCAGAGGACCTGGGTTCAATTCCCAGCACCCATAT